AGACTGGCCGGACAAGAGTTTTGTACATTAAGAATTTTCTTTTTCTGGAAAGAAACCTAGATTTAATAAACCTAGATTTTATTATTAAATGTATGTGTATAAATAAAATATATGTTATTAAAAATTTAAAACTTTCATTTTTAAATTGGGATAGTTCAAGGAAAAGATTTGCAACAATTTTTCAACTTGAATAAACAAATAAAAAATTTAAGAAATTTTTTTGAACTTTCATGAACATTGCAACGAGTCTAACTTCAACGCGTCAAGTTCATAAGCAATTTTTTGAAAAGTTCAGAAAAAAGTTAAATTCATTAAATTTTGACCACATTTTTGACAATTTGTTTTCGTATCTGTAACGATGGAATTTTGAAAATAAAACTTCAGCCATTTTCCGACTTGTTCAAGCTTTTAAATGTCTACTGGAGCTCCATGCTCGATGACAAATCTAAGTTTTAATTGCTTCCTGATAGATAAAAAAACAGAATTTAATCAAGATATTGCCGACAAAGGAAGATAATCGTAAATCGGTATTTTGATCATTTACTAATTGCCAGAATGTTTAAATATTAACTGACGATATGTGTAGGACAGCTAAGTTTTAAATGTTGCCACAAATAGAAATTAAATCACCCTTTTATCGCTAATAAATTTTATTTTTGCAGTGATTCTGTTGTGCTGTAAATTTTTAGAATTTTCCTGATTTTGTTTTTGTATTTTAAGTGATAGCGATATGCATACTTTCATTATTTAATTCTTTAATTTATTAAGTTTGTCACCGTTTCATTAAATATAAATAAATTAAACCTGTACCAAAAATCACGGTAATTACAGAATGGTGTGGTCCCGCAGTGGACTGATCGTTAAGACACGGTTCCCAGCAGATCACCGAAGTCAAGCATCACTGGCTGCGGTCGGTGTGCGGGTTAGTGACCACTTGAATCAGTCTGCGTAGGGACCGAGNATCGTTAAGACACGGTTCCCAGCAGATCACCGAAGTCAAGCATCACTGGCTGCGGTCAGTGTGCGGGTGCGTGACCACTTGAATCAGTCTGCGTAGGGACCGAGGGTGTGCGGTATGGGTGCTCGTTAAACTGTGCAACCGTCAAGTGCTCGACTTCGAGTGCAGGTCGTCGGGCTACCGAAACGGGACTCTCTGCAGAGGATCAAAATTGTGATGGCATGTCTTCGGATCATCCTCAGGGATGTTTCCCAGACCGTCGCCAATAGCCCATTGTGCAGCTCTAATGTGACGTAGATGAACTACTACAGAATGGTGTGTTTAAGGTTTGACAAACTTTAAAAATCAGAGATGCCAACTTGCTCCGGACAGCAAATATACATTTTAAAGTGGTAGTTAATCAATTGTGATTCTTGGTTTAATAAATTCAATTTTGCAGATTCTTATCCACCACTATTTCTAAATAATTCGTGGGCTTATATAATTCACCACTTTATAGTACTTATGTCATGTTATACCTTTTTAAAAAGCAAGCAAAATAGTCAAATATTTGCAAAATTTACTTGGCAGTTATTTACCGTTTTTTTTTAAAATTATTTTGGCGTGTCCGGGGCAGTTGGCCTCTCTGAAAAGTACTTCTGCCTTTAATTGTAATTCAATAGTCATTTTACTACCACTTGGGAAAATTATTCTCGAATGGAGGAAAAATTGGCAGATTTAATTTCAAGAAACTACAATTTTTTAAATTTTATAAGTTTCAAATTTAATTATGAAATTGTAAAGCTAATATTAAATGTCTATGCGAATGGATTAGTAATGGGGAATGCAAATTATCGATTCATAACCGGTGAAAAGGATATCAGATTTTAAATTTCGCTCAGTTTTCCTGACGAATTTGATTTCGTATGTTTCCCTGGTGACTATTCCTGCATTAAGGCTGCTTCAAATAGTTAGAAATTCAATTAAAGCCATAGGATTAGAGTTTCATAGTCATTATATGGTTTATGAACGCATCTGACAGCTTGTTATTAATTTCGTTGCTGGTTTTGTAGCGCTAATTTAATTTTCTCTTTATTGGTTTCTGCTTTCCGAATTTCACATTTGTTCGAAAGCTACTTGTAATTGGATTTAATTGAGCAAATTCCACATTGAATGTGTTAAGTCTGTATAGCAAATGAAGAGGGACTATCTCCAAGATGCATTCAGATCTGATTTGTGATTATTTTTTTTCTTTTCAAGAATGTTTTGATGTTGCGTTTTAAGAGATGAGTGTTTAAATGCACCTATGAATGAAATTAAAAAACAAAATACTGGTTAATTTTATTCATAATTAATGTAGGAAAAACTCGCGTGTTCGTATAGCAGGCGAGGAATCAAACAAAGCACAATAAAACAGTAAAAACATTGAATAAAGGTAGCAAACATATTGTGATGATAAAATGTGCTACAATTTGCAGAAAGCCAATAAGAACAGATAGAATTTCAAACAGAAGTTGTCTTAAAAGATGAGCCTGTGTTAGATTTTCCTAGAGCACTTTCAACGTTGAATATTTGTTTCGTATTTTGTTATATTGGTCCATTTTAAGTTGTAATAGACCTAATTATTTTATATTCAATTGAATTCTGGAAACAACATTTTTAAACAACATCTTGGAAATTTGTCGTTGACTTCTGGTAAAATAGAGGTTTCAGATATATTTCGGAAATATCAGAAAACAGAGTATTACTTTTACAGGCAAGAATTTATAAAACGCATACTTCCAAGACTTTAATTTATCCGTAAATTAAGTAAAATATGTATAAAATGTGCAGTGAGCAGAAAAAAAAGAAGAAAAAAAAAGAAAAAGAACACCCTGAATATTTTTTGATCTAATAGATGGTGCTTTCAGGCACTAGGACTCAATAGGTTGGTCTTAAATTAAAATATGTTAATTAGTGCAGACTTTATGTTTCGACATCAAACACAAAGTACTGTCTCTGGGTAAGTATACATTCCTTCTACGGATTCGGTATTTTTACCTTTAAAATAGGAGAGTGAGGAGGTATCCGCAAACATGACTCAAACTTTATATTATAATTTGTATGGAAGATAGGGTCCTGATGTGATTAAAAAGGTTTTCCTGACCAAACTATTGGGGCAATTCGCCAAACTATTATCAGTCGCATTTTCCATTACTACCGTAATATTTGATTTCTATCAAATGTAATTTTTCAGTTCATAGTAATGTACATACCTTTATTTTTAAAAAAATACAATAGAAATTTCCGTCTATTTATGAAATACGGTTTTCTGTAGAATGTCTAAAATCAACCGGCAGAGTTACTCTTTGACACATTGCATGCGCATTCTGTAGAATGACTGTTATTAGATCTGTACAATGATTAAGCAAAGTATATAATTCTCATATTTCTCACTTTGTCTATGGAAATATGGTTCAACCAAACACTCTATACACCGACTAAACATTCTATAGTTTGCCGGCATATCATGTATTAACGGTAACACATATTATTCCAAGTTAATGCTAATTTCAAATTGTATATTTCGATTTTTATTATGCTCGATTAGATGGACACTTTATTTAAAGTTATGCTTCATATTATAACATAACATTGGAATAAATTCATTTATAAACTGTTAACAACTTAAACGGAAATATGGTTCAGCTTAAACGGAAATATGGTTCAGCTTAAACGGAAATATGGTTCAGCTTAAACGGAAATATGGTTCAGCTTAAACAGGAAATATGGCTCAGCTTAAACAGGAAATACGGTTCAGCTTAAACAGGAAATACGGCTCAGCTTAAACAGGAAATACGGCTCAGCTTAAACAGGAAATATGGCTCAGCTTAAACAGGAAATATGGTTCAGCTTAAACAGGAAATATGGCTCAGCTTAAACAGGAAATATGGCTCAGCTTAAACAGGAAATATGGCTCAGCTTAAACAGGAAATATGGCTCAGCTTAAAGCGGAAGCTTGGTTCCAATTAAGGCGAAATTATGGTTCCACTTTTATTATGTAAGGTTCCACTTAACACCTCATGAATTTGCAGCAAACTTTCACTATAATATGTTTCAAAATATCGGTATTATCGATCAATTGAGAACTGATTTTCTGGAAGTGTACGGCTCTTTTTCCTTTCAGGATAGTTCAGTGCGATACTCAAATATCATCGGTGGATCGCGATACATTCGTTAAAGATTCCTTTTCTCAGATTAAAATACTCACGAAGACACAAAATGTCTTGAATTATCTAGAAAATGTTATCATTCACTTCGAATTTTTCCTCTTGGACGGATTAAATCACGTACGGTTCTCAAAGGGTAAATATCTGCTTTGTTCGTGAATAAACGATGAAACGATTTTGCTAAGCTTGTAGTTAATATAAATATTATGTAAATCAAACATGAGAAACATAGATTTAAAGAATGACAAAAAAAATTTCCCCCCGCTTGCTTTAGCTATGACTCTGCTTTCTCAAAATCTCTTAAGTGTTAGTTACGTGAAACGAAAGGTTTGTTTCCATGGAAGAAGGTTCCGACGTGACAAAACTACCGATAATTCATCGATACTGATATTCGTCTTCATATGATTTATCGATATATCAGTTTCGAAGTGTACAACTCTCATATCAGATTGTCCAAAGACAAAGGACAATGGCTGAAAGTGTTAAATGGCGAATAGAACACCTTGCCCCCCACAGAAGATACGAACCTTTTGTTGTAAAAGCACAATAGGTTACGGTTTTTTAAAAACAATAAGTATCGTTTAAAAGACAATTCGGACAGAAGATGATTTAAAGTTTGATATTCTTTAGGTGCAAAGCGAGGTGACGTGTTCAGAATAATAAGCCAATACGGAGACGGGACGCTCGCACGTGTTGCAGATCCGACGCTTTCCGAAAAATGTTCGATTTATTTAAAAAAAAAGGCGCTTCGAATGTGTTTTAATTTCGTCATCTGACAGCAACACATGTTTCAGTGAATTATTATAGAATTCTTTTTCTTTTTTATCAGCTTGCTTATAGTTTGATGGCTGATAAGCTGCTGCGTTTATCACTTGATGAAATGAAACCGACCGAAATAGCTTCAGTTTCGCAGGCATTCACTTTAAAAAACGGGAGAAATTAGAACTCTTGCTTCTACGTCTATGTTAAACAATTTGATGCGGAATTTATATTTTGGGCCGTAATGTGGACGGCTACGGTCAGCGTTGTGGATTATATTGAGAAGTTCTTTGATTGGTTGATTGAGGCTGGATGCGTTTTGATTGGTGGATTTAGTTCTTTTTTTACGTTGGATGATTTTGAGTTTGAGGATTTTAGCTTTCTTCCAGGTAAGTCGGTCAATTAAAGACAGTTAAGGATACTGTTCTTTTTTGTTAAAATTTATACATACTGGGTATTTTCATTATCTATTAAAAGTATGGTAATTTCCACATTAAGCGTTAAAGAAAATATTATTTACTCGTCACAATTTGCATAAAATAGTGATTTATATTATATTATAGGGCAGAGCATAACACAAATCTAAGTTTGAAATTCGAACAACAATTAAACATAAATATAGAGAAAAATTTATCATTTTTTTATTTAAAGGAAAATAAAAGTTAACTATAAATTATAGCAAAATTCATTTTCAATAATATATTTATTGCGAAAGTTTCCAACCAAAAAGTTCAATTTTGGACATTCATATAATATAGATCAAATTCTGCAAATTTTTTTTAAAATAAGTATATAATTACTTACAAAAAAATGTATAACGTTTAAATAGGATTATTATTTGATAGTATCTTTAACAAATTTCAGCATACATTTTACTGTGTGCATATTTTTGAAAAAGCTATATTTATTTGCTTGTTAATTGTGATAATTGAAACAGCACTATTATTTAAACTGATAATAAACTCAAATAAGTAGTTTAAACGTAATTATCATTCCTAAAAATAATTCTTTAAAATTTTTTTCAAGTGCACTGTAAAAAATTCCGTATCGAATTATGGTATAAAGTATCGTCACTTTGGGTGCATACAGCAATTTTTTCAGTAATATTTATTTGCGGTGATTCAGTGATTTCAAAGAAATTATTATGGCAAAAATTACGGTATATCGGATTTTTGTTTCCGTAACTTGTTCCGCTAAACGTGAATTTTACGGTAAAAAGTAGCAGTACCCTGAAAGGCGTTACTTTTACTGGTATAAAAGTACCGGTACAGTGTATTTTTCAATGAAATATGCACTGTAATGAAAATGAAATGTTATTTTTTTCACATAATTTTTTACAGTCCAAATTACGTAACGCTCGTATTTCTGATAACTTTCTCATAAATTTATTCTTTAAAATATACAGGGGTCTGTCCAGACATTTTGTGAAAGGTCCTGTTTTTGTAAAATTGTGAAAAAACTATTCATAATTTGTGAATATAAAATAAGCGCTAAGTCGCATTCTTTGAACCAGGGTCCTGCTTTTGAGAATTTGTGCAAATAGGGTCCTGTTATTTGATATTTGGCCTATACAGCTCAACACAGAATATTCATTTCGGACGAATAATGGAAACAAAATCATTCCCGTTTTTAATAATTTCAATTGACATATTTTAAATAACAAGTCTTAGTAATGTATCACTTTTAGTGTGTTACGCATTAAGTAAACTTAAACAATTCTTAAATTTATAATATATTATTTAAAAAATTGCCAGAAAAATAATTTTTATTTACATAATATTCCATTAATTAATTTTATGAATAAATATAAATTGATCAATTATTTATTTGCAAAAAACAATTATGATTTAATATTAATAAGAATGCGCACACGATGTTTGTAAAAGTAGAATTATTTTCTTAAGACATTTGGAATTTAAACTTAGGGAAACTTAGTTTGTCTCGAACCGTCTTTCTCCCCCCCCCCCTCCGGGAAGGGTTTATTCGATTAACTAAACAATAATGAAGAAAAACAAATTTGTGAAGGATCCGATTAAAAGATAAATTATTTTGTGAAGGGTCCGTTTTTATGAAAAGATATTTTGTGAAGGGTCCGTTATATCTGCTATCTTAATAATAATAAAAGTTGTTTTAGTTTTGTATCTTTTAAACAGAAAACTAGTTGTTACCCGTGGTTTTGCTCACGCGGAATTACTTTGATTTCAATTTTAACAATTTTAAAGTTCTATACTATATTTAATTTTAGTGATAATTTAAAATATGTCCGATAGCCATTAAATCCCACAAACCACAATGAGCATGATTCGGGATATTTTAGCATAGTAGACAGAAGACATGTTCAAATTATTTCCATTTCCGTCGTGAGTTAACTTATCCCAATATTCCAGTACGTGCTTGTAATATTTCCTCACTCACCACTCGAGATCGAGTATCGTAGTTTGAGTATCGTAAAACATGCATACAATATTGCTCGAGAATGCTAAGCTTCCTCCCCAATAACTGGTATATCAATATGCGGCACCATATGTTTAAAATTTCTACAACCAAAGTTTTTTTATTTCTATAAAAATAGAAAATTATTCTAAATACTCAACCAGGGGTCTGTCCAGACATTTTGTGAAAGGTCCTGTTTTTTGTAAAATTGTGAAAAAACTACTCATAATTTGTGAACATAAAATAAGCGTTAAGTCGCATTCTTTCTACCAGGGTCCAGTTTTTGTGAATGTGTGGAAACAGGGTCCTGTTATAGCAAAAAATGCTAAAAACCTTTTCAAGAAGTTTTTAAATCGTAAATAGATAAAAGACTATGCTCAACAATTGCTGCTACTAAATTAGAGAAGCAACATACAATTATTTCGTATTTAGCCTATACTACCCATATCAGAATATTAATTTCGGACGAATGATGGAAACAAAATCACTCATTTTTAATAATTTCAATTAACATATTTTAAATAACACAACTTAGTTATGTATCACTTTTAATGTGTTACGCATTCAGTAAACTGAAACAATTCTTAAGTTTATAGTATTTTATTTAAAAAATTGCCAGAAATTAATTTTTATTTATATAATATTCTATTAATTTTATGAATAAATATAAATTGATTAATTATTTATTTACAAGAAAGCAAAATCGTCATTTAATATTAATAAGAATGTGCACACGATGTTTCCAAAAGTGGAAATATTTTCTTAGAATACATTTGGAATTTAAACTTAGGGAAACTTAGTTTGTCTCGAACCACCTTTCTTCCCCCCCCCCACGGGGAGGGTTTATTCGATTAACAAAACAGTAATGAAGATAAACAAATTTGTGAAGGGCCTGATTAAAAAATAAATTATTTTATAAAGGGTCCGTTTTTATGGAAACATATTTTGTGAAGGGTCCGGTAACAGACCCCAATTTCTTCTAAACAGACCCCTGTCAACGCATAACTAACTATTCCATACATATTAAACTATCATTTAAGACTACCTAACAAAATGAATCTAAATAAATGCTTAACGATCTGATTATTTAACTATAAGTTAAATTATTATTTAAGACTACCTAACAAAATTAATTATTATAGATGTGGTTTAACTCCAAGTCTTTTGTGCCACGTAAGAGAAATGAATGAATAGATTAAAAAAAAATTATACAACTTTGTTTTAATTTCACAATTGCGAAACTGGGAATTTAAAAAAATAAAAAATAAAATGGTACTCTTTAATAGTAACGGAATGTGGACATTTGTAAACGTTATATAATAAGTTATATGTATAACGATATATATTTCAAATTATATATTAAGATTTTCTGAAAATAAAAACAGTTATATTACAGACAAGCTTGTTTTGTATGTGCACTTTTTTTAACTATTTAATTTGTAAGGTTTCTGTTGCTTTCGATCTGCTTAACCAATTATTGAGAAAAAAAAAACTTACCTGAAACAATTGTATTTTTTATTTTTTTTCCACGTCCTTGTTTTACATTTTCAATAATTCTTGCAATAAACTGAACTTAAAATTTTCTAAAAATATTTCAATTGTTTTTAGGTATCGAAATTTACATAATTCGTAAAGAAATTTTTTTTCTAAAAATTATTTTTTTATTAATAATTTTAAATAAAAAAAACAACAACAACAACATTAAAATAAAATTTTCCGGTGTGAGAAAGCTTTCAGAAAATACTTTTCAATCTAGTATACCTTTTATCACTCTTCTTTTTATTTTATATTTTATAACCGTTGTTGAACAGTCGACACAATTTTTGGGCTTACGACTTCTAATGTTCAATTCCGTAGCCTTGTAATTTTGAACACAATCCAGAAAACAAGGGAACTCCTGGATCAAGTATTGGGCGAAATTTTGCCTCAGTGGAGAACTTTTTTGATGGAACTAACCCGCACTAACGTTACATGGAGAGGAAGACCACGAGAACCTCCCGCAGTTAGCCTGACGGCAAAGGGACTATAAACCATGAACCGCGTACCACTGAGGATATTCACGTCAGCACTGTGGTCGGTGCAAGCCGGTTGTGGATTCGTATCGACCTGCCATAGCAGGGATTCGAACCTCATTGGAAGGCGAAAGCTCTATTAACACCTCCTAGAATAATGAAGGCCTCAGCACGGATCAAATTAGTAGTCCGACGTGACGAAGTTAACTGCGCAGTTGATGAAAAATAAGAAAGATGTCATTACGTTCGGGGTACTAAGTTGCGCAGTGGATGAAAATACGAAATATGTCATTACGTTTGTACTACTAAAGGATATTTATGGTAACCCGTGCAGAGGCCTACTCTTTTCTAGGAGGTGTTGGCTAGAGTCCCCTGAGCCATCGCCTGAGAATCGTTTATTAGGGAAAATATGTTTTAATGAAGTCTAACCAATTTTTTTTTTGTAAAATAGTGATTTCAAATATTTTTGTTACTGCTGAATATTTCTCGAAGACATTTCATTTAGTAAACCAACCCAAATCTGCAAAAATAAAAAAATAGTTAAAAAAATATTTTAAATGATAGTTTTGATGATATTCTTGTATCAGGGTGCGTAGNTTCCGTCTCCTTGTGTAATTTTGAACACAATCCAGAAAACAAGGGAACTCCTGGATCAAGTATTGGGCGAAATTTAGCCTCAGTGGAGAACTTTTTTGATGGAACTAACCCGCATTAGCGTTACATGGAGAGGAAGACCACGAGAACCTCCCATGGTTACCCTGAAGGCAAAGGGACCATGAACCGTCTACCACTGAGGTCGGCTGATGAACCGTCTATCACGTCACTACTGTGGTCGGTGCAAGCCGGATGCGGATTCGTATCGACATGCCATCGCAGGAATTCGAATCCGGTTAACCTCATTGGAAGGCGAACGCTCTCCCCTGAACCATCTCGGCTCTCAATTG